TCAGTATGCCAATTTCTTTTAATGTCTTTGTGAAAGATGTCTTTCAAGGAGCTAACTTTGTTCCTGAAGAACATATCTGGTTGGCCTTTCTTATCTTGTGCTGCAGACAGAGATATTGGAAGAACTGTCTTTTTCTGGGCTTTTTTTCAGGACTGTCTCTTACGTTACTAAATTTTTATGGGTCTTTAAAAGTATTTATCTTTTATAATTCTGTTAAAAAATAGGATTATATTTGTAACGTTGTGTTCCTAGCAACAGGTACATAAGAGAGCTCAATTTAAATTTGACTTGTGCAGTAGGCTGAATGAGATTGATAAAGGTGCACATCGTTAAAAATGTTTGAGTCACACATAATGTGAATCTATTTACTGTGTTCCATTCAGGCGTCAAAAGGCTCATTGATGTAGAGTTTCTTTGTATTGTTCTGGATTTGTACAGCACCTTAATACGGTTTGCACCTGCAAGCAGAGCTGCTCTAGAAATACTCCCTCTGTTACTAGTAATAGTGAGCACAAGCTTCATCTAGTAAGCAAAAGGTGTCACACTTGCTTCTGACTTTGGCTGTTGGTTTTGGTTACAACGTGGCTGATGTTACTGCGAGGTGCAGATCGGTGAAGTTTCCGTAAGGCTGAATCAGTAGTAGTTTGCTTTCAAAAGGAGTGTCAAGATTTTTGCACAAGTTGTTTTAATGATTTGACAGTTGAGCTTGAAATGTCTTAACTCTGTGGTGCTCTTTATGCGTATCAAGCTGAGACATTGCTCTAGCTACGGTAACACTGCAGGAGAACAAAAACTCCCCGCGCAGGAGTAAAGGTTGTAGGCTAGGACAGTGTTACCCCAGGTACTGTACAAATCTAGAATGTGTGGTCGTCCCTGGCTGGGAACAACATGACTTGTTTTCCTTCTGATTTTGGAAACCTTTTGTCTTTTTGAAGGGCATTGTGGATTCAAGTGTACGACATGATCATCAAGTGTTGATCATCAGAGTCTAGTGATGCTATGGGATTACTTTGGCTCTTATGGAGAAACAATACCACAGGGAGTTACAATTAATCAATTAATTAATTGTTCTGAGTTCTAGAACCTGTTTGATGGCAATACACATAACTGTCAAAACTGGTATTACCCTACTCAGCTTAGATATACAAGGGGGTCTTAATTGCTCTTAAATTCACTCCCCTGAAATACACATAGTGAATAGTGCCCATTTAATTCTATGCACAACTGTTACTATGGACAAAACCTGAAACAAACTGAGAAACTTCTGAATGACTGCTCAAAGCTCTCTTCTTCCTCTCTAGTCTCAGAATTAGTTGTCGTCGTCATAAGCCCAATGTAAAAGTGGTTGGGGCCAGCAGGAGTTATGTACTGTCAGGTGCGCTTACATTGATGTTCTAGTTTGGGTCATTTTCTTGTGAAATGGTCTTCCACCTACTGCGCTGGGGCCCCCATCGCAGGGCACTCTGCATGTGGGTTCCCTTCAGATGATCCTAAACCAGAGGATGCCTCCAGGACTGTTTCTGCTGTGCTGCTGCTGGGTACCAGTCCACAGGGCATACTGGAGCTAGCCTAAAATAATCCCTCTTGAAATAGGTATACGATTGGTGTCAGGTCCTCAGCACCAGCTGTTTTACCTGAGAAAAAAAGTGCTTGTATTGGCCAATATTAGTGTTCCATGTATTGCCTAGCCTTTGACTTTCTGGTGAAGCTTTTAAAGTATCTACCTGATCCACAAATCTTCTGGCTTAGCTCCTGCCAACAAGAGAGCGGCTTTCCTGCTCACACATTAGTACAAAAGCTGTGACTAGTAGCAATTTGTGATCTGGAGAACCTCCTGAAAGATTGTGCTGAAGTGCATGCATGTGTCTATCAATTTCTGTTTATCAAATATGATAGTTTAAAATATGCATGAAATACGGCTTTATTTTTTTGTGGGAGTTTGGTGAATTGGATTTAGCAAGACCATCTTGAGTCAGTTAAGAATTTTTTTTGAAAGAAGCTGAAAGTGTCTTTCTTTAAATTGGATTGGAAAAAAAAAATCTCCTGATCTGGAGAAAGCAGTTGATATTAATCAAGTTTAAATTATCCAATAATATTTTTGTTTTAATTAGCATTAGATAAGACTAAGGAATTGTAAATTGCCCTGAAAAAACCTCACTTAGGATTATGTCTTGATTTCAAATGAGAAGTGAGTAGTGACAAATAGAATATGACATATATTGAAAGACGTTAAGTTGAAGTACTCAAATGCTCTGTAGAATTCTCCTGTTAGGTAATCTTTTTTTTTTTTCAAGAAGCAAGAACAACTAGGTTGTCTCTGTAAAGAGCTCACTAAAATACCCTGGTGAGCTAGAGTGGTTTTTAAGGTGGAAAAAGAAAAAAAAAAAAAAAGGTTGTGTTTAGGAACAGGCGAAAAGAAACAAGAAATGAAAGTGATTGTGGTCTCAGTTAGGTTTCTTTACTCAGGTGGAGAAGAAAAATTGCAATGATTCTGTTTTGAAAGGAGATGAATAGTAGAGGTGCAAGAATAGTCATGAAGTGGACCAGGTCAGGTGGCACACCAGGTACCAGTTTTCATAAGCAGATGAAGGAGATGGGCTGTTGAAATTGATAGGTGACAGTTTTTAAAATGAAAAAAGGCCAGAAATTGTTATGGAACTATCCAGTGTAGGCTCTGTATTGTCAGATCTTTTTTCTGGCACTGCTGTGAAACCCCACTCAGGCCAGGCATCGCTTTTGCTTCGGATGCCTTTCTAGACCTTGGTGATCCGCGTCGTCTAAATCTTTTCCTTTTTCAAGTGTTTGTTACGGTTTTTGTCCTCTTGGTCCATTACTGCTAAAACTTCCTTCAGGCTCAGATATACATGGCTTGTCTTTGCTTTCAGTGTTTCTTTCCAGCGCTCTGATAACCCTTTACTAACTTCTCGGTTTTCCGATGACATGATTTTTCCATTGCTGCCTGCTTAGAGCTTCAATTGGGCACCTTCATGGTTTTTTTTTCTATGATATCACATATATTACACTCAAATACATGAATAAAAGTTCCTCTAAACTATGCACAAAAATGTTAACTTCAAATTCTTTCTAAAAAGTGTTTTCCTATGGTTTATGAAAAAACTTGACAGTGTACAAACCAGTTGATTACCATGGCAAACCATATTGATTTATTTGCTGCCTCGTGCTACCCTGTCCATTTCTGTTGATCGCTATCATCTTGGTTTGTAAACTCTACATTTCCGTCCTGGCTCTGGGTCTTAGTTTGTGATTGCTGCTGAGAGGGCTACTATAAATGCAAGTTGAAAAGTGGCTAAATAGTTTAATAGAACTTGGAAAAGAATATTCTGATAAGAGATCTCAGCTTTTCTGTGTCAGCATCTAACCTTACTGCCAGCTCCTGGGGGTAAGGGGTGGATTTCCCAGCGGAGATTGTTCTGTCGTCAGCTAATCTGGAACTCCTTGTGCTTAACAAACGTGTGGTGGTTGGGAAGGAGTAAGATGGGAAGCTGGATGCCTTGAGTCTAATCTGAAGCTGCTTCTGCTTTTAGGTGTGTGAATGCACAGTTTTGGCACAAATAACTTGATATGTTTTCCCCAGGTGTTTTCATTGTGAATTTCGTTAAGGTACGGTAGTCTGCAGCCCAAACTGACCGCGTTTCAGCATCCATGTCTGAGATAGTTTTAGACTACCTAGTTTAAATATCAGTAGCAAGCTCTGCAGCATCACGGAACGTGGTACCAGCTGCATTATCTGTCGATGAAGCAGAGTGAAGTGGAACAGTTTCTTACTGAGCTCTGTGCTGCTGCTGGGTTTATATCAATAGTTAAATATTTTAATTCTGCCTGTTAGTCTGACTTACCCATAAATGTGATCTTTAGGCCTGCAACAATTAAAAGTAATTCCTGGATCACAAAAACAAAACATTAGAGGAAAAATAATGGTGCGAGTCTGGGATAAAGATCGACTTTAGAAGTCCCAAATTTGTTGATGTTTTATTTCTATCATTAAAAAAATAAACTTGCAAAGAATAAACAGACCACTGAGTCAGAAGGTGTAAAAACATCTTCGCTTTACTTAAATCTGTTTCTTTCCATCGAATACTGTTACATTTGTGAAGAAGTGACCGTAAGGACAGATGGTATAAAAGTTGCCAAGTGCGGAGTCCTAATTCCAGGGGAAATTTTCATGTTCTGTTCTTTGAATGGGTGTTGACTTCCAAATCACACGCAGACATCCCTCTGATTTTCTGAAGATGAGTCATAGTGCAACTTGTATGTCTAAGTACTGGCACCAAATTTGCAGTACGTTGATCGCTCCTGGTGATAGGACTAGGTATTCTCTAATCTCATTGTGTGCTATTTATTAAAAAAGAAGACTTAGAGCTCTTAAAAACAGACTGCTGAGGGGTTTGTTGTTTGGTTTTTGTTTGGCTGTTTTTTTTCATTAGTGCTCTGCATAGATTTTAAGGTATAATAAAGTAAGGAATGTTACCTTGAGCGTAGTGGCTTTAAATGCTGGGTTAATTCAGGCTCAGAGTGGAGCTTTCAGTGTCAGGCGATCTTTTTTTGCCAACATAAGCACTCGGCTGAAACAACAGCTATGACTCAGTTGCCAGCGAATGCTGCTTGAATTGATTTAGTCCGAGTTCAGATTTAGCACATAATCATGTTCAATTTGATCCACTGTGCTGCCTAGAGATAAAAGGGTTGAAAAAATAGATTTAGCTTATGTCAGTCTTTGTGGTGATGTCATTGCCGTGAGAGATGGAATAGCGCTGTTACTATGCTGTGCCTGCTCAGTTGGTGGGTGTGCGAGGGAAAGGCAAGGAGCAACTCGGTTAAGTGCAAAGAGCTCGTGTCAGAAGCTTGCAGTTATTGTCAGCACTGAAAGAGAATTTTGGACTGTTCAATTGCAATACTGAATTGAAGATTTTTTATTTTTTTCCTTTCTTCCAATCATTTGTTACTCTGAGGTTGTCTAACTCTGTGTACGGAAGGGGGGGATGCCAGCCCGTAGCATGGACTGTGATGTCTCCACTCTGGTTGCCTGTGGGGTTGATGTGGAGATTTTTGCCAACCAAGAGGTTAAGGTATGCGACTACATTTCTTTTGTTGCAGATGCTTCTGAGGAAAGCCTTTGGGAGCAATAGGCATTTGTATGTAGCGATTCAGAATAAGGAGGCAGATGAGATTCTGCTGCAGCAATAAAAGACATGCAGTTGAAAAAACCTGTTAATTAGGGAAGAGCAATATGGGAGAGAAATGTGCCTATTTTTTACTGTGTTTTGATAAGCTGAAAGAATAGGCTGGTGTTTACTCTTTAATGATACAAGAAATGGGTTATATAACTGACATCTGTGCATATGCATGCTTCATATTCATGACGAATCATTCATTGTTAATTTTGTCAAGATATTTTTAGTCCAGTGTCATTTTTTATATCAGCCTTGCTGTAAATGTTATTTATCGATGTTGATAATATTCAGGTATTTTTACTCAGTTGAACAGTAGCTATTTCTTTTCTTCAGATCCAAATCATGTACACAAGTATAATTTTTTTGTGAAGGGTTAAAAGTTTGTAGCAAGTCTTTTGGTGCATCTGCAATATAACAGAATAGAAAAAGTTGTGCATCTTGCATATCATATGAATACCTCGAAAACAACGCTTAAATCTAAGGCTTGATATGCTGGGCTCATAGTCTCTTAATTAGACAACTGCTGTAGAAAAATCATTGTGTGTAATTGCTTACTGTTGAAATCAATTATCTTTTTCATTTATTCTCATATTACTGGAAGAAAATCACTGCAAATTAAGTTTGAAAGAGGAATTTTAAGTATGCTTTTCACAGATCGTCCCGAAGAGCTCATAGGTGTAATACAGTGATATTCCGCAGTTTAGTCAAAGGACAGAGGTACAGACAACACTAGTTTCTAATCTGATTGTTCTTAGTATTGAGAGAATGGAATGGGGGGAAAAAAAGGATTTACAAATTGGAGGTCAAATTTTAAACCCCTGTTCTGTTTAATTCTGAGTCAAACATTGAAGCCAATGGAAATATCTGGAAAGAAAACCACTTTAATTTTCAAGAGATTGTTATGATTTTTATTTCCCTGTTAGTGTGCTGCCAGGTGATATCATGTATACTTTGTAGAGATGCTTTTGTGTGGTCAGCAAGAGATTCTTCTTAATTTAAGAAGCTTTTTCTTAACAGTTTAATACTGGGTTTAGAGATGAAATAGTGAATAATTCAGAGGAACGGTTCAGGTGAGCAGGCTTGCCTGCACTGGGACATGTTTCCTGTAGTGTTCTGAAGTAGTAAAATGTTCCTCTGCTTATTCTTTTTTTTCTTCTTTTTACTTAAGAACGTATTTTTTTAAATTCAGGAATTACAGCTGCATTGATATGGGCTTGTACCTGGAGCAACTGTCTTTTAGTGTCTGGTCCATGTTCGACATCAGACTATGCAAGAAATTAAAGTTGTAGTCATCTTCTTGCATCCTTAGGCATGTGACAGTGGCAATGAAATAGCAAAATTTTAGCTTCCATAAAATCAGCAGAAAGCTTTCCAATGACTTTGGTAAGGCTTAGATTAGCCTGATTTAAGCTGCAGCATCTGGAAAGTGTGGCCCAGGAACATGGGATAACAGAGAACAAAAGGGCTGCAGAGACATTACAGGAATTGTAATCTCTTTTATGTTACTTGGACTTTCTGTACTTGGTTTGCAGGTTAAAACTGCTTTTTTTTTTTTTTTCTTTTTTCCTGATGTTTGAATTAAAATGTTGAGAGCAAAGACTTTGGGTATACTTACAATGGAGACTGCACTGCAGACTGCACTGCAGCTTAGAAAGGACAAGTCTACTTTGAAGTTGTCTGGCTTAGATGCTAGAAACAGTCTGTCCTCAGTGACCCTCAGCTCACTGCAGACTAATTTTCACTTAGTTATCAACAAGCTTGCTTGTCGGAGGCTGTGTGCAGCGCTTGTCGCAGCTAGGCTGCTGCCAGGGCTCACGCCTAGCTAGCTCTGCGCTGATCCCACTCCTCTACACAGCAGGCTGCGGTGTAGGCATCCTCTCTGTGAAAGTTTCAGCACCACTGATGTTTTAAAGGTGGAGACACCTACTGCTCTTTGCTCACTCCTAGCAGAACTGCAAAACAAAATATTTTTTTGTCTGCAGAAGGGGTTCTCTTCAAGGTGTTTTTTTTTGTTGTTGACAATATGGTCACTGTCAACATAAAAATGTTTCTGTTGACTTTGATAGGATGACAGGAACATCAGGCTTTAAGTTTAAAAAGGAAGGAGGCTGTCTCTAAGAAGGGATAAGTGTGGAAGTTGAAGTAAAGGAGCAGAGGCAAGCACAGCAATCCTGCCTTCTGCCCCTCCCCTGTTCTTCTGTGTGCACCTCTGCCCTGCCCTTCTGCAGGTCAACTCAAAGACACAAGTAGTGTTGAAAACTGCAGTCTAGGTATTGTCCTTCCAATTCTCTTCTGCTATAGAGCTTTTCACGTAGGGGAAAGGTTTTTTAGTGGGGAACCTTCTGGCTGTGTGAAGGGCATGTTCCTTCAGTGGTAGAACATATTAAAGAATTCATGATAACGTGTGGTGCTTGATGAGATTTGCTAAAACGAGCTATTAGTCCTGTAGCCGTAGTTCTCTAATGCCAACAAGGACTGTGCTTTAGGTTTTGGGTTGTGCTTGCAGCATAGCTCACTGTATCCCAATTGAGGGTTAGAACTGAAGCGAGGCGTTGGAGAAGGACGCTGGCTGTACTGAGCCGTCGCTGCCCTGCGTGCGGGCTGGATGTAGCTGCGAGGCCGACTGCAGCCAGCGGGCTGGAGAGGGGGTGGGCAGGAGCTGCCCTGCTGGCCAAGGCCTCCAGGGGAAGAGCTCGGTGTGGGTTTGGGCTGTGGAGCAGGCGCTCTCACAGCAGGTGGCAACGATGCCTCCTGTGAAGCTGTCCTGGAGTGGGGCGAGCTGCTTAGCTTATGGCTGCTTTTCCACCTATGGAAGTGACCTTATTCTGTAGGCATTAGGCTCTTAGCATCTGGCAGACAGGCTCGGAAAGACTGGGTTGTTTTTTTCCATTTGGCTTCTGGAACAGGAGAGCGATTACTTAGTACTGAAGGCAAAGCTTTTTAGTTTCAGCATTTGGAGTGGCTCATCCTTTCAACAAACAGAGGCTCGTGTGGATGCCCTGAAACTGGCAGCTAGCCCACAGCACTGACACTGTTGGTTTACCATCCATGAGCCCATCCAACAGGCCTTTTGGTTTTGATCAGCTGCTGCTTTGAATTGTCTTCTATAATCCAAAAACTGGGTCAGGCTAATCAAGATGCTACTTAACCGTACAGTGCATGTATATCAGGAATTGGGAGGCTTGAGAAGACAACCATAGAAATCACGAAGTGCAGTTTTGCTTTTAAGTTCACCTGGATAATTAAAATGCTTCTTCTGGTGCCTCTAGATGATAATTTTATGTAATGATGTTTGTTACATAAGGAATTAGTTAATGAATATCTTGTTTATTTCTAATACAGAAATTCCAGACATCACTGAAACAGTGGAGGAGAATTTAAACTCATACTTCTTAGTCTAAGCAAGATATTTGTACATTATTAATTCTTCATGTTCTCCCTTCAATTATGTTCACACACACCATTGCTCTAGGCAGCAAGGTATGACTGGGACCACAAGGCACTACTGTTACAGAGAAGAAATACTAATGATCCAGATTGATCAAATTTGTATGTGAAGACAGAGGAGTAATGTGGATAGGAACATTATCTTAATGCAGGGAAAAACAACATGAACATGAGCCAGGCAGCAAAGGGAAACAGTAGAAATCGTTTCACTGTTTTGACCATATTGCTTTGGGTGATTAATCCCCTCTGGAGCAGGATCCCTGTCAATCTGTAAACTCATTATTCAGTTCAAATGCTCCAGTGAGCACACTGCTAATACTAGTTGTTTGGGATGGATGGTTTGATCAGCTATTGCCCTACAGTTGCCTTTGAGAGGTTTAGCAGTCTCCCATCATATCTAAACTTCTCGGGCCTAGAGGGAGCAAACATACTAGGTTCTTGTGGTTTTTGCTCTCCGCTTTATTTCTCCATTTGTGGAAGTGGTTCGTTCACAGAGATGTTCTGAGGTTTAAAGTTTAAGTGGTCTAAGATCAGAGTCAAGTGAAGGAAGCTGTAGAAAAAGGGAGGAGTGTTGCTGCTTCTCTGGATACTGCCGGCTGCCCAATGGCAGGAATCATAACTCGTTGGGAGAGTTTCAGGGTTTCTTTTTTCATATTCTTCTCCTTAGCCACGTGAGCTTGATTTGTGGGAAGAGGCACTTGCACAGTCATGAGACTCCACAGACTGGGGCTATAAGGAGGAAACCAAACAACAGCATGACTGCCAAAAATACCCTGATGGCTTGAAAGGACTGCTTTATAACTACTTCTGTTAGTATTTTCTGTACCTCATAGTTCCTTCTGTTTGCAAATAATGTTGCATCTGTGAAATCTTCAAGATCCAATAATTCTGCTTGAGAAATAGATATACATGTCTCTTGATCTCTGCTTACCGTCTGTCTTCATCTAGAGTAAGTTACAAAGAGGAAGAATGGAAACACTTTGCTGTCTTGCTCATTTATCTGTATTAACGCTTTTAAAATAGGACTGTTTGGTTTGGAGAGCAAAGTGCAACCTTTTTTTTCCACAGTGTTCAAAAAGCTATAATATTGATAGAGCTGATGTAAAATAAGGGAGTTAGAAAGATAAAAGATGTCACATTTGTTTTAAGAGCTTTGTAATCTCTCTTTTTTATATAAAGCGCTAGTTGCTATGTTGTAAATATGAAAAAATTTCAAAAGCAACAGAAATACTTAGTGCCTAAATAAGCAGGTACATGTCCAGAGAGATACTTCGTGCTTTTAATTTAATGGTAGCCCTGTTCTCTTTGTTCTTCCAAACTTCCCAGAAGCTGGAGTGCTGTCTCCAGCACATTGACCCTGCTGCGTGGCTTCGGCATCAGCGCTGAGAGGCTCCGGGCCAGCAAACCTGGGGCTCACGCCCTCAGTGCTACTGCCGGTGACCTCGTAC